TTTTTTTTTTTAATTTTTTTTTTGAGACAGAGTTTCACCCCGTCACCCAGGCTGGAGGTACAGTGGTGTGATCTTGGCTCACTGAAACCTCCAACTTATGGGTTCAAGTGATTCTCGTGCCTCAGACTCCTGAGTAGCTGGAATTACAGGCATGCACCACCACACCTGGCTAATTTTTGTATTTTCAGTAGAGACAGGGTTTCACTGTGTTGGCCAGGCTGGTCTCAAACTCCTGACCTCAAGGGATCCGCCTGCCTTGGCCTCCCAAAGTGCTGGAAATACAGGCGTGAGCCACCGCACCCAAATGCCACCAAACTTTTGATGACCCATTTAGAATAAGGTTCAATACCACTGTTGGGGGCACAGACTGATTTATAAAGATTTCTAAAATCTGATCAACGACAGACAATAAAGAGAAAAGGCGGCTGGGCACGGTGGCTCACGCCTGTAATCCCTGCACTTTGGGAGGCCGAGACGGGCGGATCACGAGGTCAGGAGATCGAGACCATCCTGGCTAACATGGTGAAACCCCATCTCTACTAAAAAAAAAATACAAAAAACTAGCCGGGTGAGGTGGCGGGCGCCTGTAGTCCCAGCTACTCGGGAGGCTGAGGCAGGAGAATGGCGTAAACCCGGGAGGCGGAGCTTGCAGTGACCTGAGATCCGGCCACTGAGCTCCAGCTGGGCGACAGAGAGAGACTCCGTCTCAAAAAAAAAAAAAAAGAGAAAAGGCACATACTGCTCTGTTGAAGTGTTTTTTTTTGTTTTTTTTTTTTTTTTTTGAGACAGAGTTTCGCTCTTGTTGCCCAGGCTAGAGTGCAATGGCGCCATCTCGGCTCACTGCTACCTCCACCACCCGGGTTCAAGTGATTCTCGTGCCTCATCCTCCCAAGTAGCTGGGATTACACGCATGTGCCACCATGCTCGGCTAATGTTTTTTGCATTTTCAGTAGAGACGGGATTTCACCATCTTGGTCAGACTGGTCTCGAACTCCTGATCTCAGGTGATCCACCCACTTCAGCCTCCCAAAGTGCTGGGATTACAGGCATGAGCCACCGTGCCCAGCCTGAAGCGTATTTTTTATCTGACATCAGCTACAACTCCCAGATCTTACAGTGCAGTGACTGTGACTATTCAGATATTTATAAATTTTGATGTAACAATAGCTTCTACTAAAATAGAAGACTTTTGGTGCTCGTTTAGATGTAATAATCAATTGTGTGCCACAACCAATGCCAACTACTCCACGGGTGGCTTAATGTAGTAAAAAAACATTGTTTTTACCACAACACTGTGCTTCACCAAAATTTGCACTTCTATTGTTACTATAAACTAATAATTTTATTTTCTACATTGAACTTTTATTTATTTATTTTTTGAGACGGAGTCTCACTCTGTTGCCGAGGCTGGAGTGCAGTGGCACAATCTCGGCTCACTGCAAACTCTGCCTCCCGGGTTCACGCCATTCTCCTGCTTCAGCCTCCCAAGTAGCTGGGACTACAGGTGCCTGCCACCATGCCCAGCTAAGTTTTTGTATTTTTAATAGAGACGGGGTTTCACCGTGTTAGCCAGGATGGTCTAGAGCTTGTGATCTCGTGATCCGCCTGCGTTGGCCTCCCAAAGTGCAGGGATTACAGGCTTGAGCCACCGCGCCCGGTCTTTCTATATTGAACTTTTAAACTGAATTTCCAATCTCACTCATAAAGGCTTTATGTTTAACAGAATATACTTCCAAAAGCTTTACCTTAATCCCATGAATGAATGGAAAGAAAAAATTGAAACCATTTGTAGAACTAACTTAAATGATATACTTATTTGAAATACCTGATGACACTGAACTAAAACTGGAATTAGTTAACTGCTTTCATAGTTCTTCTGACAATGAAACAAAAGAACTATTGCTTCCCTTTTCCTATATACACATAAACACTTGTAGTCGATAATTAGTGAAATCACTTAGAATAGTCATTTCTCTAAATACAAGTTGTGTTGCAGAGTGGTATGGATATATACCTTCTGCAGCTGCATAAAGTAAATCCTGATACTTCTTTGACAGACTTTACTCTTCTTGTTTTCATGTGGTCAGTGATACCACTATGGCCTCCACAGTGGTTAGTAAATGTCAACAAACATTTTTTTCAAGTTATTAATATACATTCCTTATTAACTTTCTTAAGAAAAAAAATCAATACTTAAAAAATGAAACACATACTTTTAGTTTTTTCAGTTTACTGCTGCCAAAAAGATTTACTGCAAAAACTAAGTGTTGCCAAGCAATAAAATAGTTATAGATTTACACTGTACAAGCAAGTGTGCTCAGTCTACGCTATACTTGCTCCCTAGCAGAGCTGATCAGCCTTGATTTCCCATATATATTTTACAGACACCCAAACCTATAATTTACTGTTTCCCACTGAACTTATCAACTGGTACCTGGTGGCTTTGTGACTCTTGCAGGTCACGCATGGGCTACAGTACAATTGGGTGACACACTACACAGCCAGCTGGGGCAGCAGCATCAAAACTTCTCCCACCACCTGATACAGGAAACAGTTAGCTGCCCCTAGACATTTGTGTCTGAGTGTACTTTACTGTATTAGCAATTGCCCTGCATTCTGTCCTTGACTGGGAAGTATTAGTTCTGCCTGAAAGGGTTGGGAAAAGAGATGTTATTTCTGGTATCTTTCAGATTTCCTAACAACTTAAAATGAAGCTGGGCACAGTGGCTCATGCCTGTAATCCCAGCACTTTGGGAGGCCAACACAGGAGGATTTCTTGAGCCCAGGAGTTCAAGACCAGCCTGGGCAACATGGTGAAAGGCAAAAGCCCGTCTCTGAAAAAAAAAATACAAAAAATTAGCCGGGTGTGGTTGTATGCACCTGTGGTCCCAGCTACTTGGGACACTGAGGTAGGAGGATCGCTTTAATCAGGGAGGGTGAGGCTACAGTGATTGCACCACTGCACTCCAGCCTAGGTAACAGAGTAAGACCCTGTTTCAAAAAAGAAAAAAAAGGAAAAAAGGACAACTGATAATGAGAACTCTCTCCACTGTGTAAGGGTCTCACAATACTATTATATTACACTACACAAAAACAAAAACAGAGGCTGGAAGTACTAAGTGGGGAATCTACCAAACTCATCCCAACTTATTCTAATATAATTATTAGTAATAATTCTCTGTTAAAAAATGAAAAATCCAGGACAAATGCTAAATCAGATGAGATCCCAGGATAGCTGGCTTACACTGGGACTCTGCTTTAGCAAACTAGGATGTACACTGATCCAACCTTCAAGGGAAGGAGACCTGCCCTTTTATGTCCTTCCTCCTTCTATTGACTGGAGGGAGGCCATAATGGCAACTGCCTCAGGCCATGATGTGGTAAGATAAGGATGGCAGAACCGTAAGATAGAAGGAGCCTGGATCCCTGACTTTGCAGAATCACTACACCAACTTTTGACTGCCTACTCCTAGGTGATTTTACATGAGAAAAAAAATAAATTCCTATCTTATAGGGCACTGTTACCTTATAATCAAACCTAATCCTAACTGATATAACAAGAAATACCTCTATAACCCTTCCATAAAGCAGGTTGGCAATATGTATCAAGAATACTAAAAATGTGGCCAGGTGTGGTGGCCTTAATCCTTGTAGTGGCTGGGATTAATCTCATACTATAATTGCAGCACTTTGGGAGGTTGAGGTGGGAGGATCGTTTGAGGCCAGGAGTTCAAGACAAGCCTGGAAAACACAGTGAGACTCTGTCTCCACAAAAAGTTTTTAAAAATTAGCCAGGCATGGTGGTGCCTGTAGCTACTCAGGAGGCTAAGGTAAGAGATGGCTTGAGCCCAGGAGTTTGAGGCTGAAGTAAGCTATGATTATGCTACTGCACTTTATTTTTTTATTTTTATTTTTATTTTTTTTGAGACAGAGTCTCACTCTGTCGCCCAGGCTGGAGTGCGGTGGCGTGATCTCAGCTCACTGCAACCTCCCAGGGTGGAGTGCAGTGGCTCAATCTCGGCTCACTGCAACCTCTACCTCCTGGGTTCAAGAGGTTCTCCTGCTTCAGCCTCCCGAGTAGCTGGGATTACAGGCATGCGCCACCATGCCCAGCTCATTTTTTATTTTTTGTAGAGACGGGGTTTCACCATGTTGGCAGGCTGGTCTCGAACTCCCGACCTCAGGTGTTCCACCCTCCCTGGCCTCCCAAAGTGCTGGGATTACGGGAGTGAGCCACCGCACCCGGCCTTTAGCCTGGGTGATAGAGTGAGACCATGTCTCTATAACAAAAGGAAAAAAAAAAAACAAAAACACTAAAAATGTTTAACCCTTTGAACCACTTCTAGGTCTTTATCTTAAAGAAATAATCTGGAATAAGGAAAATTGATATGCAAAGATCTTTACTGAAGATCTACTTATGATAGTAAAAATAAGAAGCAACCTCAATGTCCAACAATGAGGAATTTGTTAAATAAGAGGTATTATATCTAAGTGATTGGATATTATAAAAAAAGTTATAAACATGGGAACATGCTCACATCATAATATTAAGTAAGAAAAAATAGGCAGGATTAAAAAAACCTTATACATAGCAAGTTCTCATATATATTACAAAAAAAATTACATATATAAAGGCATTAATGAACAACAAAAAAAGACTACAAGGAAATACATGAAGATATAAACCAGCAGTGATTATCTCTGGATAGTGGGATTATAGGTAATATTTACTTATATTTTCTTTGAAGATTTAACCCTATTCTATAATTAATAATTTCATCCATAATCAGAAAAAAAAATTACTTTCAAAACTCGTTCCTAGCATTTATGCTTTGCCTGGTACTAACACTGCCATCATCATGTTCATCACAGTTTTACTGTTTACTGAGCATGCACATGAGGGGAGTTGGGGCAGGAGGACACACAGACCTGCGGCTCCAGCAGCCAACTAATTGCTGCCTGAAGCCATTCAGGTACAACCAAACCCTGCCCATTTTTACCTTGGTGTTCTGTAGCAGAGCAAGTCCATTGCAGGCATTTGCTAGAAGAAAGTCTCCACTCAGGATAGCAATTTTATTTCCAAATTGCATGTCTTTCAGTGGACCATCAGATGATTGCAACTCATTTAAATTTACTATCCCACGATGTACAAGGAGAGCAGTATGAATAAGCTCTGTGATCTCTGCCAAACTTCTTTGACTAAAACATAAAGGTAAGATTTGTTAGAGTATCAAGAATACCGTTTTATCACTAATGTCTGATTTCAGTTTTCAACAATAAAATATTCCATAGGTTGCCACCCACTTTTTTTTGGGGGGGGTATTATATCTTTCTAATGAAGCTTTAAATAGAGGCCTCTCTACTGAGCAGTTTGGGATCTGTAAGAAGATCTTGACACCTTCCTTCTCTGTAATACTCCTCACTCTTCCCCACAAGTCACTAGGATATCCCAGATAGAAGTTGGCCAGTGGAGGGCCACCCTCCACAGCTCCATTTAGACATTGTGCTCTCGGTATACTTTCCTCATGCTCATAACTTCAAGATTTCTGAGACTCCTTAGTAGTGTCTAATGGAATTCCAATTTAAGTGAGAATATAATCCGTGCCAGATACTAGTCTAAGGGCATTATGTACATTCTCTATCACTCTCTTTTTTTTTTTGATGGGGTCTCACTCTGTCACCCAGGTTTGAGTGCAGTGGTGCAATCTCAGCTCACTGTAACTTCCACCTCCCAGGCTCAAATAATCTTCCCACTTCAGCCTCCTGAGTAGCTGGGACTACTTGGTGTGTGACACCAAGCCTGGCTAACTTTTGTATTTTTGGTAGAGACAGGGTTTTGCCATGTTGCCCAGGCTGGTCTTGAACTCCTGAGCTCAGGTGATCCACCTGCCTCGGACTCCAAAGTGTGAGGATAACAGGTGTGAGCCACTGCTCCTAGCCACATTATCTCAATCGTAAATGCAAAGCTATGGGGTTTACAGAGATAAATACAATATGGTTTCATCCTTCAAGGACTTTTTAACTTTCAGAATAAGAATGAAGACAAAAACCTACAGTAGCAAATAATATAGAGAAGGCCCCTGAGGAGCTTATAGTATAGAACTGTATTACATGGCAATTTCAGCAGATGTTTGTTCCTTTTTATATTTTTCTGTAGTTTGTATATTTTGTACCATGACAAAAGTATTACTTTTATATTCAGAAAAAAAATCAACAGGTAATTACTAAAAATTTAAACATTATCACAACTTCATGATAGGTATTATTAACCTCTTTTAATAGGTGAAAAAAATTGTGCACACAAGTAAAATGACTTTCCCAAGAGTACACAGTAATGTAGATCTGAAAATCTGTTGGTATCTGCTACAAATGGCCCCATGTGAGTCACGTCTTTTGGTTTCCAAGGTCCTGCATGATCCCCTTCCACGCCTGGCAATGTGACTTGCTTTGGCCAATAGGACATCAACAAACAGTACACATGGAAGCCTGATAAGTGCCTATGCAACTGATAAGCTTTTCGCAGTCACAGGAGTTGCATGACCCCAAGCAGAAGAACCCTCAGGTCAATCCACAAAATGGTAGTGTGTTTCAAGTCACTAAACTGTATGGGTGATTTGCTATGTAGCAACAGATATCTGATACAGAAATGATATATCTAGAAGTGGAGTGTTTGCTTTGAGTCAGAAAAATGAGACTGGGAGGCAAAGGCTGAAGGAATGGCAAACTCTTAGTGGAAGCTGGAAAGCTACTCAGCTACAAGTATAAACTATATCTTACTAGAAAGGGAAAATAGGCCAGGTGCAGTGGCTCATGCCTATAATCCCAGCACTTTGGGAGGTCCAGGTGGTAGGACTGCTTGAGGCCAGGAGTTCAACATCAGTACAGGCAACATAGTGAGACCCCATCTCTACAAAAAATTAAAAAATAAAAATTAGCTGGGTGAGGGAGTGCACACCTGTAGTCCCAATTACTTGGGAGGCTGAGGTGGGACAATCACCTGAGCTCAGGAGTTCAAAGTTACAGTGAACTGACTGCACTATTGCACTCTAGCCTAGGCACAGAGTGAGACTCTATTTCAAAAAAAAAAAAAAAAAAAAGGAAAGAAAAGAAAAGGAAGCTCAGAAGGCAGAACCACGAACAATGGAGAAGAGTGAATTCGAGAACCATTTCCAGGGAAAAGAACTGAGCCCTAATCAAGAAACATTCCTTGCTCCAAGATAGAGTAGGTGGCCCAGATATGTGCCCAGCTGGATTTCAGAATTGCTATAGATTAGTGACTGCTACGTACCTCCCATTTCTCTCTCTTTTTAATGAAACTGACAACTGTGGTTATCTTCTTTCTGATTCACTATTGTATGTTGGATAGATGGTGGTGTGTGGGTGGGGGGAGGGTAGATAATTTGTTTCTTTATTTCCTAGGTCCCTGATTGAAGAGGGGCTGCACCCATGGAACCACATCCATATGGAGACCTAACAGAAATCATGAAATCAGGGACACTGAGCTTGATGTCATAAAATGGATAAGACTGGGGTCTTGGGAGGTGGTATGTTTTGCATATGGAAGGAATGTGAAACATTGGGCCTGAGGGCAAACTGTGGCAGAGTGTTACACCAAGTTACACTTATCAGTCACATCCTCTAATATCCAAGCAATGTATAATCTCCTTGATTGATGCTGAGTTTGACCATGTGACTTGTTTGGTCAATGGGACATCAGCAAAAGAGGGACAAACAGGCTTGATAAGTGTTTTTGCATTGGGGTTTACCCTCTTGGAATGCTAACCTGAGACTACAAGTTAAGAAACCTAATCTAGCCTCTTTGAGAATGAAAGACAACATGGAGAAAGGCCCATGTTGTCAAGCCCAGCCCCCTGCACATTTACCGGGTAAACACAGCCACATAAATAAATACAGGAGAAACCAGCAAAGGAACAGTCCAGCCAAACAACAGAATTATGAGAAATAAGTTGGTTATTGTTTTAAGCCACCAAAGTTTGGAGTAGTTTGTTACACAATAGACAACTAACAGAGACTCCAAACCCCAATCTTTTTCTACTAGATTAGGCTGCCTCCCACATGTGCCCATTGAAAGATTCTATCTTTCCTTTTTTTCTGTAGACCTCATCTGTGTCATAAAAGCTTTAAAAAAGTTTCCTTGAAGAAGCTAAATTTGAGAGGGGCCTGGAAAGGCAAGTAAGATTTCCATAGCTGGAGAAAAAGGGCAAAACAAGAGTAGGGCTTGAGAACTCCAGAATAAGAAAGACCATGAATCATGACATAGAGAAGGCCAGAGCAGAAAATGTGACCAAAGGTTGAAGAGATCAGTTTGGCTACAGTAAAGGGACTGTGTGGATAAGTGAGAGATAGGAATTTTGGAGCTTGGTTATAGCAGGTGAAATGGTCTATATTTTATTACACAGGCAATGTTTTGAGATGAAAGGATGATACATATTTTTTAATAACTTAGGAAGAAGATTGCAAAAGTGATACATAGAAAAACCTTAAATAAGTATCTAGGGAAAGTAGGGATATGGGGTGGGGGAGCTATTACAAAGGTCCAAGGAAGATGCAACAAAAGGCCTTGACCTAGGACAACTGCCTTAGGCCAGGTAATCAGGCTCATGCCTGTAATCCCTGCACTTTGGGAGGCCAAGCTGGGTGCATCACCTGAGGTAAGGAGTTCGAAACCAGCCTGGCCAACATGATGAAACCCTGTCTCTACTAAAAATAGAAAAGTTAGCCAGGCATGGTGGCAGGTGCCTGACTAATTTTTGGGAGCTACTTGGGAGGCTGAGGCAGGAGAATCGCTTGAACCCAGAAGGTGGAGGTTGCAGCGTGCTGAGATTGTGCCACTGTACTCTAGCCTGGATGACAGAGCAAGACTGAATCTCAAAATAAATAAATAAATAAAATAAATAAATAAATATAAAATCATCAAATAATATATGAGAGTCTTCTCTCAAAAAAAACCAGACTGGGCCGGGCGCGGTGGCTCAAGCCTGTAATCCCAGCACTTTGGGAGGCTGAGGCGGGCGGATCACGAGGTCAGGAGATCGAGACCATCCTGGCTGACACGGTGAAACCCTGTCTCTACTAAAAAATACAAAAAACTAGCCGGGCGCGGTGGCGGCGCCTGTAGTCCCAGCTACTCGGGAGGCTGAGGCAGGAGAATGGCGTGAACCTGGGAGGCGGAGCTTGCAGTGAGCTGAGATCTGGCCACTGCACTCCAGCCTGGGCGGCAGAGCGAGACTCCGTCTCAAAAAAAAAAAAAAAAAAACCAGACTGGCTTAACAGTTATAATAATCACATAAAGATACAATTAAAAGAACTAAACAACTTGGCATTATCAAATGCCAAGGAAAATCTCATGTCTAATTCATTTCCTTTGTTAAAAAAAATTAAGAGACTATGTAAAGATGACCCAGTAGACATATTGTATTTGATTACAAATTTGGGGAGTAGAGAAAGGAAATTAATCAGTGAGTCAAATAGCATCTAAGAGTAAATTCATAGTTTAGATTAAAATCTCATTATATCCCAAAGAAAATCACTAAGAATGGAGGCTTAAAAGACAGTTGAAAAGTTAACAGACGACATTTTTAAAAAATAGAACATTTAAAATTACCTTTTAAAAAGTGACTAAAAGAAAGGAATAAAATTGTATTTTATTACTACCCTGCAAATGATTTCTAGTTTCTAAAACTATTCACTGAAAAAAGTCCATATTGTCACATTTCACAAAAATCACATAATGAGATTATGGGAAAGCATAAAAGTAAAAAGGGTTAAGCATTTGGACAAGTTTTTCATGCAGTTCAGCTTATGAAAGAAAGTAATAACTAGGTAAGCAAAAAGTGGTGTTTTGGATTACTCAAAGGACGAAAATGAGTGATTTTGACATCTATAGTCATAAAACAGCATTCATTAAATAAATAGCAACTTTTAAATGCCACATGGCCAGAAACAACAAAAACAATGGTATGCAATAATAAAAGTGAAAGCCCATCATTTTTACAGTGTCTGCCATTTAAAAAAACCTTTCATTTATATGATCTACTTGTGATTCTAATTATAGAGGTCTGCAGAGGTTAAACACTTGATCAAGAACACTGAGTTTATAAAAGGCAAAGCTGGAACTCAGAGCCACCTTGTCCTGCTAACAAATGACAATTTAAAATGTTTAGCTGGGCACAGTGGCT